ACAATGCGAACGCGGGTGGCTCGACTGGTTATTGGTCATCTGGTTGCTGCTCTGTCAATCAAGACAAAAGTTTGGATTGCAAAGCTTTCTGTAGCTATTGGCTTTCCGCAGTAATAATGATTTTATGCCGATGACAGTGAAGTCTGTAAACTAACTGTCAGACTGAGCACTCTTGTCATTCTTCATTTCATTGGGTCCTTGATTAAGCGTACCCAAAGCGAACGACGCACAAGCTATGAGTTTCCGCAGAACGGTGCTTATAGTGAATACGGTACGGTTCCTCCAAAGAGGTAGTGGACGTTTGCTTATTTGTTTATTTGCGGAACTGAGTTGCACTTGCGAATTTTGTTGAACCTAAGTCCATCCAGTAAATACTGAAATAAGATTTAATCCTGACCGATGTGTATGAACAACACCAGGACAGGCAAGCTGAACGGCTAGGGAATCTCAAGGTTTGCTGGGGCTAAAAATGGAATTCCACCCGCTTTTAACATAATACTCGGCCAAAGAGTTATTGGTTACGCTGGTTTTCTTGTGGAGAATGCGCTTTTCCAGTCTTTGCCGGCGGATGTGAACGAGTGAGCCTTTAGTCTTACGACCGTTGAGCATCGGGTTCAATGGCACACCTTCGACATGTGTTACGTACTGAAGTGATCTACCCCGCAGAAACTTAGATGTATAAACATTCAGGCAGATCAGGCAATCCCACTGAATTGGAAGTTTGGTGATCCACTTATTTTCACGAATATATCTCATAGTAAACACTCAGGTAAAACAAACAATCCCACCGAGTTGGTATTGATATGGTCAACTTCCTTTTAGTAATATAGCTCGTAGTATGACGGTACATGCCAGAAATGCCCGCAGTGAACTGGTTCTTTGAATCCGGAAGATGGGAACATCGAGACCCATATTATAGTCGACGGAATGGTGTATCGATCCAGCGGATGTTATGCATGCCGAGATTTCTGATGTGCTGAAGCTTTCAAAGGAACCTATTTTGCCCATGTTTCAGTACGGATGCGAAAAATTTCAAAGCTCTGTTTTAAATAATCTGTTGCATTTTATTAGAGGAAAACTTCCACTTGATCAGTCTGGTTGTCGTTCCCTTATTCGCCTACCGAACAACCAGGTAAAATAAAATTTGGGAACTGCTGATCAGTAGTGCGATTAGCTCTCAGTTAGACTGGATATAGCGCCAATCATCCTTCATTCACATTAACCAAATCACATAGTCACATATTGTCGACAGATTCTTCGGGTGACGACTTATCAAAAGAAAGTTTCAGTCATCTTATAAAACGATTCTTCCTCTGATATACTCATGGATTGCTGATGTAACGGTGATATACCAATGGGGCAGGCATGAGACTTATATGTTCTCTTCCTGTAAATTCGCTTGAAAAAGGATATCTTTGCGGAACTTTTAGACTCGCTTTGTACCATTTGCTTGAACTTGAGCAACACTCGATGAATATCCAGAAACGTTCAGCATGAGGCGTTTAAGTGGGGATGAATGTTTAGTTTTTCTAAGTAAGTGGCATATGAGATGTTTGCCTTCCTGTCCAATAGTCTGTAACTGGTCAGTTGGTAGTTTGTAATAAATTACTCCGCAGGGAAGGCATTCTTCCTTTTAGTTGGTGTTGTGACCAAGGTAAGGATCAAGATTCCGAGGCCACATCGCTTTGAGGATGGTGATGTTCGAACCTTCCTGGAGGAATTGGAGGAGGTCGCGGAGGGCACGGGACTGGAGACCGACCGGGGTAAGTGCGCGACGCTGAAGATCCTCCTTTGCGGCCGTACGAAGGCGACACTGGATGCGGGCAGAAGAGGTTCTTGGAAGATGGACTGGGCCTTCGCGAAAAAAGTCCTTGCAGCGGAGTTCGACACGCCGGCCGACCGCCCCGGTGACAAGGTATGGCGCACTCAAGCTTGACGTTTATCCGAGATGTTAGCCCACTGCCAAAATTGATAAGAAACAAGGATTATGCTTTTTTTCAATTCAAAGCGGTCTCTAGAGCAGCTTCTTGGACGAGCGACATAGTACGGCCGGCTCGTTATGAATTTTAGCACGATCGCTCTAACTGTACGACCTCCTCCGGCACAATCGGAAATTTGAATGGAACGGAAATGTTTTTGAGTGTGTCAAAGCGCGGATGTTGGATCATCAACTGACCAACAAACTGCCCAGTTTCGGAGAAATGTTCACTGTTGCAACGCGGTGATCGCGGTTTCGGCGCAGACGTAAAGCAGCGGAATGGAGTTATTGAATATGTCAGTCGTGTCCTGACTAACGCTGGAGAGAAGCACTCGACCAAGGAGAAAAATGATCAGCGATCGTCTGGGGCCTGAATAAATGGAGCTTTGGCAAAGATGTCATGTAAAAACCGATTCCAACATCCTGGAGTGGATAGGCACCACCAGAGATCCTCGAAAAAATCTCGCTTGCTGGGCACTACGACTGCAAGTGTACAACGTCACAATGGCCAAAGGTTTTTAAATTTACTCATAAAGCCAGCAGATACATCAAAACAATTTTGTAGACTAAGTTTGCCGCTCAATACTGCCTAAGCTACGTGGGCAACATCATTGTGTACAGAGTGTTGAAAACGTTTTGAGTAAATGATCAGCCATTTAACAAGCGGATCAAAATGTTCGTCCATACCCTGAGTAGCATAAACTTTGTACCGAAAACCTATTAGATTTGTGGTGGATACCTTATTTCACGTTAACACCATTCGTTTATAAGGCAAAGTTCGATTCACAGGAGACGCCCTGTGTTTCGCCGCAATGTGACTATTTATCTAATACACAAACGGACGACAGATTTGGAGATATTTTCGGAATCAAGCGATAGCATTTTTGCACAGCTCCGGTGAGCGGGTCGTTCTTTCGACATCTGACTGAATGTGGAACTGTGGTCCACACAAGCCCGACCAGAGTAGAATCATGGTTCCTGTTATTGGGATAATGTATCCTAATACTGTTGGGATAACAAATACTCCACCAAGTATGGATTATCCCACACACTCTGCTTGCCTTCTTTGGCCTCCTTGGCTCACTCTCCCTGTTATCCTAAATTCACGTGTGTGTTCTAAATCGAGCGCTGTGCACGGAGACATGAGTGTGCAACAATATGCATACGTTTCTTGCAAATATATACACTCCAGGAACGGAAATGTTTTTGAGTGTGTCAAAGCGCGGATGTTGGATCATCAACTGACCAACAAACTGCCCAGTTTCGGAGAAATGTTCACTGTTGCAACGCGGTGATCGCGGTTTCGGCGCAGACGTAAAGCAGCGGAATGGAGTTATTGAATATGTCAGTCGTGTCCTGACTAACGCTGGAGAGAAGCACTCGACCAAGGAGA